CCCGGCCTAGACTTCCCCCCTCCCGTGGTGGGCCGCGCTCACCTCCTCACGGTGACTGTGACAGCGCTAAAATACAGCTCTGTGCCAAGATCTGAGTCCTCAGAGTGACGCTCCCCGGATCTGGCTCTGAGAGAGCCTCCAGGGAGGCCTGTTTCCCCAGCGGTAAAACAGGGCTTGGAGCCCTGGGCAGTGCTCATGTGGGCATCGCCGAGGCCGAGCTGTGGTGTGTTTGGGTCTTAACCGATCATTTGAACTGACTTAAGTAACAGAAAGCCATTAACTTAGCTATTCTTGTACAGGGCTTTTTAAAATCAGGACCTTCGTTTTAACTAACAACAAATTGAGTTTATAGTGGCCAAAAATATCTTGCTGCTCCTCGAGGAGTTATTCTTAGAACGTCCCATCTTGGTGTCTTCTAAAACCTGCGGCTCTCGCTTACGGAGCGTGAGATGTCAGGGCTGTTTATTTTGGGCTCTTGGAAGGGGAGGCAGCTCAGGGGAGCTATTACTAGAGCACAGGCTGCTTGTGGGAAAAGCTGCTGTTTTTGTGCCGGGCTCTGGGCTTGTGACCGCCCCTGGGGCTGGTCTCAGGGCTATTGCCTATGTGGAGTTGAAGACTGTGCTGCTCTCTCTGAGTATGAGCATTAAATAATGGAATAGACGGTACTACCTCTGTCTGCACCTAGGGCAATGACATTGGGTTGGTTCTGTGTTGTGGAAAAGTGTGTTTGAGCATTGAGCAAGGAATAGCATAGAAGAAAGAGAAAAACGGTTCAGTGTTTAGTAGAAATCTTCCCCTAGTCCCACCCAGGCAATGGGGAAGGAGATGGCTGCTATTGGCTGCCAGCCTAATACCTCCAGGCTGAGAAAAAAAGTTTTCACCATTTTTTCCCCCCCTTAAAAATGTTCCTGTCATTTTGTTTCTCTATTCTTCAGTCATCCTCTTTGAGCCCAACAGACAAGCAAGCCCGCCTCCTCCTCAGTACTTAAATTAGCTTCTACCTTCCACTCGGCAGGCCTGGAAGGAGCTGTTGGAGAGCAGCAGTTCTGGAGGACACCACGTGTGAGCCCTGTGGCCTTCTCCCAGCTCTATTTGTGGCCACCTTAGTCATGGCATGAGCATAGCTGGCACCCTGGCTTCACTCCTGGCTGCCCAGGATAGAGAGGGAGCTGCTGAGAAGGATGAGTGTTCATAAAAAGAGAAAATAAAAAGGGAAAATGCTCCACCTGCAACAATTTTGATTCAGTTATTTCACTTCAGCAAAGTGATAATTATGCACTTACCTGAGAATCTGGAGGGGGAAAAAAAGGTCCATTTTGGGACCACAAAGCAGCAGATGGTCAAAGATTGGATTCCTTGAAGGGTGTCGTGATGCAGGAGTTGGTGTGGCTGCTGGGTAGTGAGATCGCTTTCCACAAGGTGCTGGTTGTGAGGCCTTCTCTAGAGAGGTGGTTTCCAGCCTTTGTAATGGTCCTGTTTATACTTGGGCCACTGAAAAGCATTTGGCATCTTCGTGTGGGTTGAGGTTCCCATAATGGGTGTAGGTGCATTAGCCTGGTGAAGCAGCAGAGGGGAGGAATGATTTGTGTTGTAGAAGAGCAAGTAAGATGCCACTTGGGCTGGGCCAGATGTTGGGTATTGCAGTGTTAGTGTCTAAACAGCTGTCGGTGTTGAATGCTCCAGCAGCAGGTACTGCAATCAGCACAGCAAACTGTCACACAGCCCCCTTGGGCTTGGGGGATCAGCTGCTGCTTGCTCCTAAGAGCCCCTTTTGAGTTGTGGGGCTTCAGCTCTACCTACTGGTGTAACTCACAATACCCTTTTTGAGCACTTGATACTATTTTACCTCCCTTCTGGTCCTGGTATCAACTTAGAGTAAATGGCATCTGGAGCCTATGAAGCTCCAGGTGTGTTGTCATAAGGTCCTTTTTCCCAGGTGACAGGGGGCTGATCCAAGGAAATTGCAAGACAGCAAGGTGAAAAAAAAATCTCTGCCCAGCTGTTTCTGCCTGTCCGTTGATGCTTCCCCTCTGTTTTTTCTCCATGGGATTGTCTGATTTCTTATCCTGGAGCTTTGCTGCCTCTCCCCAAAACAAGGATTATCCAACTAGGGCAGCTCTTTGTATGGGCTCTATTACTGCATTGCTCAATGGCCACAGGTCTGTGCTGGGTTGCTGTCCTAAAATAAGAGTCTCTTTGGGTTAAGAGATAGTTGTGTGCTGTGAAGTATTCCCTTACAGCGCCCTTAGTGCTCAATCCACAGACTAGAGCCTGACAACTAGGCCAGTGCTCCACTAGGTCTCGCTGGAGCTGTTCCTCCCCAGCCTTCTCTGGCCTCATTTTTTACTGGCAAGAAAATAACAACCGCCCTTAGGCAGTGAAGCTGAGCTTATCTGTGAGTGAACCAAGGAATACATGATCTCAAAGCTTGTCTGCGTATTAAAGGTAATTTGGATCAGAGTGAGGTGTGAAGTTACTCCAGAATACCTACTGTGCTTGCTGTTGTGTCAGTTTTATTCTAGGATAGGAATGCTTGTTCCAATTTAGCTCAATCCTTTTTCAAAGCTTACTAATCTAAAGGAGGCCAAGGCACTCTTCTGAAACGTGCCAAAGTCAAGTTATTCGTAAGAAACCTGATGTGTAGAGAACCTCCAGTCTATTCCTCTTTATGAATTTGGCCTTGCCATTATAGTATATGAAAACTATATAGAGCCATGCCTATGTTTAGAGACAAGTGGAGCTAAAAGGAAAATTAAGGTTTTCGTTTGGCGGTTAATTTTATCAAATAAATGTGGGTTACTCTGCTGGCTCCCAGCAAAGCCATGCAAGCATGGAAGATGGTGGATATGAGGGAGAGCAGGTCACACTGATTACCTGCAGCACAGATTTCTGCAGGATTACTGTCCCTGTACCCACGGTCTGATGTGCTGTGCCTGCGGATGAGGCACCTACTAATGGAAAGACATTTCTGCCCCTCACTTCCTGTGGGGAAATTGGAGGGTTTTACCTCCTGTCTTTCAGGAGAGAAATGAGATAATGGTGATTCTGGCATTAAGTTGATGATCAGATGTCCTAAAATGCTCAGGCTGGGCAGCAGGCTTAACTATTCTTGACTGAGCCTATTGCTATTCCAGAGAAATTACAATGGATGGATCACGGTGATAATCTTTCCTAATCAATGTGAGCTCAGCCATAAACAGAGTGGGTCAGGGAGGCTTGAAATGCCTCTCGGTGAACTGCTGCTCCATGGTAAATCCTGTCCTGTGCCAGACTCAAAGGATATGTAGGGATTTGAAGCGGGGCAGCCGTGAGTTCATCCGACTGAAATGGACTCACCGGAATTTAGCCAGAATAATTTTTAGCTCCCCACTGGCTTTTTCAAGAACTTTGGCCTGTGGAGCTGTGATATTGATAAACTTTGTTGTAGTGATTGACTATTTGTTTCAGCCTGGGACTGGAGGGAGTGGAGTGCGCTCCTCTTTCTCAGACTGCTGACGCTATGAAAGAGTGAGCTTTACACAGTAAGAAGCTGGAAATAATTTGACTTATGTGAACTGTGGCAACTCTGCAGCGGTCTAGCAGTGGATACAAGTATCTGTGAAACATGATGCCCAGTGCTCCAATTTGGTGGGCAGATTTGGGAGGGGTAGGGGGGAATGCAGATGACGCATTTGATTTAAAAAAAAAAAAAAAAAAATGGATAGTGTTGACAGAAACTCTATCTTGATTAAGGATGGTAGGAAAGCATTCAATTCCAGCCATGTCTTGAGCTCAGTTACAGTTGGTTTTGGCTCTGATTCTTCTGTTTGCCACCGTTGGGGTTTTACCCCACCAGCCTCACAGCCATGTCGTTGCCTCATCTCCAGCAGCATTTTCCCCTCTAACCCCAGCCCTTGTGTCCTGGGAAGCTGGAGGGTTCGTGGGGCAGCTGCCCTCCAAGGGAGGCCCAAGAGCTATAAACAGCAGTGGTGCCTGAACTGTGGCTTTCATTTGCTTCTGGACCCGTTCTTACAAAACGAAGCAGTCTGGAGAGGCCAAGCCCTAGGAGGTCTGCCCGGACAGATGGGTTTAGCTCTAAGACTTTGTGGGTTAAGAATATACTGCTTTAGGCCAGTTTGAACTCAAAAAAGCAAAGTTCATGTGATCTTTTGGGGGAGTGTTTTTGAAACATTGACATGGACTTTGCCTTGCAGATGTGTGAGATACCATGAAAACAAAAAGGAGAAAAAGCAAAAAGGTGTTGTTGCAGCTAAGGATTTGTAACTTCATTACTGGCTTTATTCTTGTTCCCTCGAATTTAGTATTGCCTGTTGACACTGGGACTTCTTCTGCTGTCAGTGCTCCCCTAATTAATCACATGGACTGTTTTTGATACTCTGACGTAGTATTTTGGTTGTTAATAGCCTGGACAGGCTTTCGAGGTAGTGCCGTGGATCTCGCCAAGGGTGCTCACTATCTTCCTACCCTTTGCCCAGTACCAGTTTTCTGCAGCTCCCTGTTGCTGTTTTGAAAATCAGTGTTAGGGCTGGCTATAAGATGCCCTCGTGTGTATTGAAGGGTTTTTTTTAGGAATCCACTGTTACTGTTCCTTCCGGATATGAAAGCTTCGAGCTTGGCCCTTGAGTAAAGCAGCCTGTCTGCTGCCCTGCAGAATGGCATTTTCAGTAGCTGATTCTTGTTTTGGGATTTGTCATAACAGGGACTGATGCTATTTGTCTAAAGGACTGAAGCGGTGCACGTGAAGGACGCCGGGGACACAAAGGTGGAGATGTCTCGCCCAGACTCTCGCTATTCCTTTGATGTCCCAAACGCTTGCCTCAACTTCGAAGCGCTGGGTGATGATGATGTGCACAATGCAGATGCCTGGTTTGGTGAGTTGTTCTCAACTCATTGATTTGTTTTGCGTTTGGCTGAAGGATGCTGTGCTGTGTATTTTGGGCATGGTTTCTGTGCAGATAGATTAGTCATGGTACTGACTGCATCAATCATCCTGTAGTTTCTTTATTTATCTTACTGTGATCTGTAACTTGGCAGGTGACCTTCTCAACATCCTAATGCTATCCAGTGGTATTGGTAAAGATGCCTAACATGGGATGTATAGTGAAAATCTCTCTTTCCTTCTAGATCAACAAGCCAACCTAGAAAATCTCCCTCCTGGAGAAAATCTGACGAAAGTCTTTCAAAATAGCCCTGCTTTTTCAAAGCTTGGTAGTCCACTACTTCCTCTCACATCACAAAGAATAACGGGTAAGTTGACATGCGTGGGGAGGAGAGCATAAAGCCAGGCAAAGTCCTCTTTTTTTTTTTTTTTTTTTTTTTTCTGGGGACAGTCTTCATAGACTGCTGCCTAGCAAGTTCTTGTGTAGCTTTGCTTTAACATTTCTGCACATAGAGCCGATCTTTGTTGCTGTTCTCAGGTGAAAGCCATGATGTGGAGGACAATGAAATGGAACATACACAGGTCAATGTGGTTCCACAGAATATTGTTGGATCTCTGACAAGCTGGAGAGCTGCTGCTGCTCCTGCAGAGGTGCCTCAAAGGTGAAATACTTGCAATCAGTTTGTGTGAAGGTTGCTGGCACTGTAACTAAGCGGGTCCTTTACAATTCTGGATTGTGAAACTCGAGCTATTCAAACTGCTTTTGGATTGTTGCATTAAACAGCTAATTAGTGTAGAGCATGTTGGGATTTGGTGATGCACTCATGAAAAGTATGACACAGATCGTGAGTCTGCTCAGGCCTATGGGAAAACTAATCTCTCTTTTCTGTCATGGTCTAGAGCGGGTAGAAGACAGGCTACAAAGCAGAAGAAAACACAGCAACGCAAACACCTGGCTAAAATCAAAGTGGAGAGAAATGCTGTTGCCTTGGATAATAATGAGGAGGTTCCACCAATTAAAAAAATGAAAATGTATGTCACTGGTCCTTCAGCTTGGGGCTGGGAAGAGGGATACAGCTGCTTTTGAAAGTTATTTCCACGTGGCTGAAAGAGGCTCTCAAAGAGCCGAGGTGGAAGATTAGGGGGGAGGTGACATTTGATTCCTGATACTGCTTTCATTGAGAAGAAATGTCTGTAAGACCTAAAAGAAATAATCTATTTGGAGTTGGAGGTGTGATTGAAATAAGCTTGGGTTTCTTAAACCCTGTTCTCTGGGTCTGCTAGCTTTAAACCTGACATAACTTGTCTGTCAGGACTTCAGACAGTCACTGTCTATGAAAGAATCACAGCTAGAAAAATTTCTCAAATTGCCTTAAGCACTGAGATATCGAATGGTGATAAATGTGAGGTCAGGAAATCCCGCTGCAGAAAATTATTGAAAAGATGTAACAGTGCTCTAGCTAAATGAACACCTGTCTCCAGAAAAGTTTTGATTCTGGAAACCTGGTAAGTAGTCTTCTCTTTTGCAACCTTAGAGTACCAGGGAAAAATAGACGATCTACGCCTAGTCCCTGGAATATTTTAGAACTTCAGGTGTTGGGCAGGTTCTGTGTGGTGCTGAAAGCTGCAGGTGGTCTTTCATTTCAAATAGAGCTACAGTGCTTTGCTATAAAACTTGTTAACAACTTAGTTCTAGCAGCAGAGAGAAAGTGATGGAGGCAGCTGCAAAGACAGAGCCCTTGCAGAATCCTGACCACTCTCCAGGACAAGGGAAGAGCAAACTGACCGTGCCCATGACGCCGACAATGTTGAAGTAGGTAGCTTTCCCCTAAACAAGGCTTGTCTGTGTGAATCGCAGTTGATCTTGGTGCCAGCTCTAGCTAAAGTATTTCCTACTTAGCACTCGAGGCTTTGACATTGAGTAAACGCCAGATTAGACAATAGTGTGAGCATTAAAAATGTACTTTTCCTTTGCACAGGTTGAGTTAGCAAGCTTTTGCTTTTAATTTGGAGGAAAAATGTGTTCTCGCTAATGCTGAAGTGTGCATGCAGCAAATGGGTATGCAAGGTAGTAGTTAAGTCGGCTTTCTTTAGCAAACAGAATTCTAACGAATTGTTTTTAACATGACTGTTTTTGCAATGAAGGCAGAGGTAGGTGTGTTCCTTTGCACTGACATTATGCTTAGTAGTCAGTGAAGTCTAGACATGTGTTTATCTACCTTAACTTTAACATGTTTCTGCAGGAGGACCAAGCTGAAAAGTACAGAGGAGCAGGAGCTGGAAAAGATGCAGCAATTGCAGCGAGAGGTTATGGAGCTACGGAAGAGGAATGAGGAGTCTCTGAAAGCAGCTATTGCTGGTGCAGGTGAGCTCGAGCTGAATTTCAGGCTGAACCTATGCTGGGCTCAGCTGATGAGTGCAGCACGCTAAGTACCAGGGTTTAGGTGACTTTTATATGCATCAGGTTCCCAAATGCCTGGAAACTAAGTTCTGTTTTTGTCATGCTTTGAAAGGTTATAGATTAGTTGACCAAAATCTGCTGAAGTTATGAGAAAGGAAATTCCCTTTTTTCAGCCCTCCCCCACCAGATGCACATACCAAAAAAGCTTCCAGGCCTTATATACTCTTCTTCTTTAGGGCAACCTGTGAAGAGAACTGTTGCTCAAGTAACAAAGCCAGTTGACTTCCACTTCTCCACGGACGAGAGGATTAAACAACATGTGGAAAGCCAGCATGGGAACGAATACAAGGAAGTGGATTTTGCAGCAATACTGAGGAAGCATCCTCCTTCTCCGGTGAGGGCCAGAGCATTGCCAATGTGCCACTAATTCTTGACACTTCCTTGCTGCTCTTGCAACCTATACAATGCTGGTAACCTGTTCGGCTGGCAGATACGTAGGAGACAGCATGTTGCACATAGGTTTCTATTAGCTTATTGCAAATCTGCACTGATGCAAGACTTTAAAAGGATTCTCTTGGGATAAAGGGTCTATTCATGTCAGGCCTTTTAGTCATTGCACTCTAAGCTGTAATCTGCTTAATACAGTCTGATATGACTAATCTGGGCATACTTAGGCAGTTAACACATTAGGCAAAAAATTATTTATCCACTCCTAAATAAGGAAACGGGACAGATAATGCCCATCAGTGGGGAGAGGAAGTGACACTGAAGCATGTTTTTACTAAATGACAGTACTGACTGTGATTCTTGTCTCCAGGTTCGAGTGCCAAAGGGGCCCACTGTCCCCAAGCCGTTCAATCTCTCCCAGGGAAACAAAAGAAAAATTGAAGAAACTACGTCCGAATACGTGTCCCTTGCTCAGCAGGTGCAAGCATTCCAAAAACGCACACCCCCTCGTTACCATTTGAGGAGCAGAAAGTCTGATGAAGGTGAGTGGGTTTGGCTGTGTGTAGCCAGCAGCCTGTCCACAGAGCTGGTGACAGAGTGTGAAAGGTGCTTTAGCTATTGTACTGAGCTAACTATCTGAGCCTATTGCAGGTCTTAGTGTTAACTGCTGGTCTGTGACTTGAATTCATAGGCCCAGCTCCAGGAAAGCAGCCGAAGACTCGGCTTACACACCCTAAAACACCCGTGCTGCAAACAAAGCATCGCTTCAGGCCTGCCACTTGCAAAAGTTCAGCAGAGTTGGAAGCAGAGGAATTGGAGAAAATGCAGCAGTAAGTAAAGCTTGACTTATTTCTGAGAAGTGTGCCACACCCTGGAAATATCCCTTTCACATGCCAAAATACCACTTCTCAGGAACACCCTTTTTGTTTAAAAGAATTAGTATTATAAAGACAGTGACGTTATTCAAGCTTTTGTGTACAAGGCTCTAGTGTTGAACATAAGGATGCAAAACTAGCCAATTCATTTTGAAGAAGGTACTCTTAGAACAGCTCTTCTGAGCTAGCTTTAGAAGCGTACTCAATCAGGACAACATTTCTGCCTGCACACAGTTTGAAATTCTGCTGTGGCCAAACGCGGTGTATTTCCAAGAAAGCATTTGTCAAGGTGGAACCTCAGTCTTGCTTTTTTAAAAAGGGAGTTAATGAGTTTCACACTATGTCTAGGTTAACACAACTGCCTCTGAATCTGACAGTTACTCTTTTATGCTTAGAGAGGCCACTTGCTAGAAACTGCCTCTTGTCATGTGCAGTGTATAGGTGACTGTTTTTTTGTCTTTTTTTGTCTTTTTTGTCTTTTTTCCCCGTTACGTAGGTACAAATTCAGAGCAAGGGAGCTGGATCCCAAAATTTTAGAGGGTGGACCAATCCTACCCAAGAAACCCACTGTGAAGGAACTTACACAGCCTGTTGGCTTTGACCTAGAAATAGAAAAGAGGATTCAAGAGCGTGAGAGTAAGAAGCAGCAAGAGGAAGAGCATTTTGAGTTTCATTCCAGGCCGTGTCCAACTAAAATCTTGGAGGATGTGGTGGTAAGAAGTTAGTAATGCTTCAGACCTAGGAATTAGGACTGGGGGGCAGTTAACCTTGAAATGTTTCTGGCCGTGTTGCATTATATGCTTAATCTTTAATGGACCTTGTTTTTTGTTACATAAGGACTGCAGTGAATGCACAGTGTTATATCAGGTGGTTGTTTTATAGTCTGGTGGGTTTTTCTTTTTATTCTTGATGTTTAGTTTTGGATGATTTCCTACTTGCTTCTCTGCACAGGGTGTTCCAGAGAAGAAAGCACTTCCTATTACAGTCCCCAGATCTCCAGCCTTCACTTTGAAAAGCAGAACACGAATGACTAGCAGAGATGAGGAAAAGGTAACTATCCTGAATATGGTCTTATGGTCTAATTTAGATGAGTACAAGAATGAATAGTGTTTTAGAAAGTCAGGAGACTTCTCTGTGATTCAGGATGCTTATAAAGTAATACTTGGGTTACTAATTTTGTAGTGTTCAGAGTGTTCTCTTGGTACTGTGTGGCTCTGGCTAAAGAGACTGTAGCAGTCATGGCTGTGTGTAGCAGGAGTAGTAGTCTTTCTGCAAAAATCTTCACATTTAAGAATGTCAGATCCTAACTCTTAATATCTCATCAGGAAAAGGAGGTGGCTCCTGTGATCAAAGCTAACCCTATGCCACATTATGGAGTGCCCTTCAAACCTAAAATGCCAGAGCAGCGGCATGTGGAAGTTTGCCCCTTCTCTTTTGATTCTCGTGACAGAGAGAGGCTAATACAGAAGGAGAAAAAAATAGAAGAATTGCAAAAGGAAGAGGTAAGAACTAAAAAATACCTTGGATTCTCCTCCTTAAAAGGGGTGTTGCTAGGGGTTGCCTCTTGCTGTTGGCTGTTGAGCTTCCAAAGCTACATGCCTTTGAGAAATGGGCAAAATATATTTCAAGTTTTTTTTTTTTTTTTTCTCTCCAGGTGCCAAAATTTAAGGCACAGCCTCTGCCTTACTTTGACTGTGTCAAGCTGCCAGAAAAAAAGGTCAAAAACCCAACTCAGCCTGAGCCCTTCAATCTGCAGATTGATGAACGGGGAGCTACCAAGCTGCAGAACTGGAAACAGCAGGTAGGTTGAAAAGGATAACAGCTATGGACAGGCTTAAAGTAGCTAATCAGAGCTGTGCTGCACTTCAGGAAGTGCCCTGCCTGAGCTTAATCAGGCTTTGAGGATTGCTTTGAACCATGCATTATCTTGTCCTCGACAAGAGCCTTATATTATGGGTTAGGGGGTTGGCAGTTTTTTCTCCCCTTAAGTGATGGAATTTGCCACGTTTGCCTGAACCAGTGATGGGGTATTTTCTAGAGGGCAGTTATGTGTAGCTGGATCCCTTTGCTGTGTTTCTGCACTTCGAGATGTAATAACATAAATAATGCACAGCTTTTTTCATATGAACACCTGAAAAAGCTTCTGCTTTGAGAGCTGAAGCTGTTACTCAGGTCATCTTTGGCAAAAGTAACTGACAGGCAGAGTGAGATCTCTTAACTGTGGTATCATTTTACTTGAGTGATTTAATTTGAAATGAAACCAGCTTTCCAGTGTTGGGAGAGCTGAAGTCTGGGCTGGGGAGATGGTATTTTGGTTGTGCCTGACATTTGACAGGCTCTATTCTTATGCAGCTTGAAGAAAACCTGAAAAGACAGAAAGAGGCAGCGTGTTTTAAAGCTCGTCCCAACACCGTGGTGTACCAGGAGCCGTTTGTGCCCAAAAAGGAGCATAAGCCGCTATCAGGTGGAGTACTTACTATGCAGGCTTGGCTGGTAATTTAGTAGTGATGCAATTAAATGATGCTTAAACTGGCTGATGCCTCTTTAACTGCACAGCAACATTGGCTGTGCTGATAATCCGCAACCCCCTAACAGCCTGTGTCCCGGGGGAACAGGGGAGTTTCCTCTTTGCGGCCTCCCTGTCCCTGTGCACTAACCTGGCAGCTGCATTAACAGCTGTGCTGCAATTGGCACATGATTGACAGGCCCTAGCTTGGGGTAGGGGGGAGCACTTTGCAAGGTGCTCCCTGCAGAGGCAGCTGGCACTCCTGCAGCAGCCGTCAGTGTTTCCTTCCCATCTGTAATGAGATGGAGGCATCTCCAGCTTAGTTTGCATAAGCTGGAAACTTCACGGGATACAGAACCAGCACAAAACCCTGTTTGTGATAACGATTGTGGGCCAGCTCCTCGCGTGACAATACCCAGGACAGGTAATGTCTGCACTGGGACTTCTTTCCCTTGGGCTTAAGCTTTTCCTCAGAACCCCAGTGATGTCTACTAACAACCCTGCGGTCTGAAGTGCTCCAGAGGGAGGCTTCCAAATGACGCTAATATTGTGCTGCTTTACCTGACTGTCTTTGCACCAATGTTATCCCCTCTATTTCCAAACTTAGAGAGCCTTTCTGGTTCTGCAGTTCCTGAAGGCTTTGAGCTGGCAACAGAAAAAAGGGCTAAAGAGCGGCAAGAATTTGAGAAACGATTGGCAGACCTGGAAGCTAAAAGGGGGAAGCTTCAAGAAGAGGTCAGGCAGCGAAACGAGGAGCGGGAAAAGGAAGAAGTTGCTAAACTAAGACAAGAATTGGTAAGTGAGCTGTTTCTGAAGAGAGATTGTAGTGTAAGCCACAGGGATATATTAATGTGCTGAAAGAATCAATGTCAGTTTTGGGGTGCATTACAACTCCCTAGTCTGTCTTGTAGCAAGGTGACTTCTCACTCACTTTACAACGGGTCTTAAATAATTTTTGATCATTTTGCTTATCTCTGTTGAAGCTGTTGATAAGTTTTCTCGGCTTTACACATCTAACTGTTGCAGCAAAATAACTTGAAGGCCCTGCAGAAGCCCAAAACCCTAAAGCATGTCTTGCATGCTCCCGGCGGCTCGTTGAGTGCCCCAGGCAGCGTGACGGCCTTGTAGACAGATGCCTGGCTGCATCGCGCTCGTGGTTGGCCTGCGTGCTATGGGTTCAGCATAACTGCAGTCGTTTTCTTAATTTTGTCCTTGATTTTTGCAGGTTCACAAGGCAAACCCAATCCGCAAATATCGCAATGTAGAAGTGAAACCCAGTGAGCAGCCGCTGACTATGCCGAAGTCTCCCAATTTTTCAGACAGATTCCGGTGCTGATGTGCATCGATGTGGTGGCGGGAGAGGGAGCCTATCTCTCTCTGCCCTCTTTGTGGGCAGAGGGAGCAGTCGTTTTTACATGACCCCTCACTCACAACTTGGCTCCTTTATTCTTATATCAAATAGTTTAACTCCATCAGAGGCAGATGGCTGAGGCACAGCAAGTGCAGAGACCGTGCCATCAAGTCCATGGCTTGCTTCACACCTAAATATCTTACTCTCTAAAGACTAAACCAGGTTTTGATATTGTGTACCTGAACTAAATAAAAATTCTTAATTTGATCAACACCCCCTACTAGTGGGCATGATCCCTTTGCTGCAGAAGAGACTTCACTAAAGGGCACCCCGCTGACCTACAAGGACCTGTGCACCTGGAAGAGCTGCCTTTACTCTCTACACCCAACTATTGGTTTCAAATTTGTTAGCCTAGTACTACGTATTAAATGTGAATTGTGTAAGTGATGTGAGGCTTTCCAAGCCAACATATTGCAAGTGTGACCTTCCTTATTGATGTTTAGATAAATGCTAATATGAATCTTTCCATGCTTTAAAGAAGTTCCCTGTGCATATTACAGCATTAAAGCTTCTGCTGTTTTATAGCTGAAGTCATTCTATTTGGGGAAGCGGTTAACTGGCAAATAACTCTTGCTGTTAGCTGTGTCCCTTGCTCATGCCAGTGCAGTCATGTTGGCTAAAGATATATTGTGTCCTCCTAACCAATCTAGTGCAATGAGAACGGCTAAATATAGACCAAATGCTGGAGGACAAAACGTCTAGCATCACAAAGTGGTGATCGTATTTAGATTTAAGGTTTACTAGGAATGTTTTCTTATCTTTGTGTTGTGATAGGCTTCCCAGGCTTTCCTTAGAGTGAGAGCAAAAGGGGGCCAAGAATGCTACTTCAGATGATGCTCTGGATTTTAATTGTCTGGGTTAGGCACTGCTGCTGCCCTCTGTGTCTGTATTGCTGATATTTGCTCCGCTAATATAAGGTGGATCACTTATATCACTTAGATCGGTCAGTGATATAAGGTAAGTGATATAAGGTGGAGCTGCTTGCTTGGTGGAGGGGTTGTTTCAAGCTGTACTTTGAGCCCTTGGATGAAGGAATGAGAGCAAGCCCTCTGCCTCGGGCTTGGCAGGGTTCTCACTTTGCTGCCTTGCTTGGCTTGCTGTGCCTGTAGTGGTACTGAGGCTCTGGCTCTCCCTGTGAATTAAGGTTATGGGTCTCTCTCTTGCTGGAACTGCTGTGAGTTGGGCTGTTCATTGGTGTTACGGAGCTGTTTGGAAGAGATTCAAATATGGGAAAATCTGGAATATCAACTTGTTCAGCTAGATGAACTATTTCTTGTTTGATTATTGGGAAAACTTCCTCTTTCTTTCTCTATTTGGTTACCTAGATATTGGATATTTTTGCCCTTTGTGACCTTTTGTTCTTGGCTTATTTTGGGTAGAGAAGAGAGGATCTTCAAACTCCATGTGCTTGGACCCTTTCCTAAGGGGTAGAGTAATAGGGGCTTTGTTATCATCCAAGGCAAGGCGTGTCAACCAATTGCTACCATTTTACTGCTACTGTTTCTCTTCTAATTTGAGATTATGAAGGCAGCCTTCAGAGACTAGTGTTTATCGTATCTGAAGATGGATTTTTTTGCAGGAATTCTTCCCAAGAATACAGTGCGCTGGGGATATTGGTGAAACGCAGCTGCAGTCCACAACTGCAGTAGTAAGAGATGCGTGTTCTGTACAAGTGTATTGGCTTTCAGCTTTTCAGTGGGCACCAGTCCGTCGAAGCACCAACTCTGACAGGATTAAAAGAGAAAATCATCCTCATCACAAGTGCAAGAACTCCTGTCTTGTGCAGTGGGAGTATAAGAAATATGGGAGAAAAGGGGTTTCGTGTGAGCATGTTAGTGCTAAAGGGTGAAGGGACTCTATAACAGGAAGGCAGCCTGGGAGATGAGACCCTTTAGTGCCGGCTTTTCCTCTCTTGAGGATCTTTGCAGGAACAGAATTACCTGGCTGTGGCAGGACTGGTCCTGAAGGACTGGCTGGGTGGTGCAGAAGGGCTTTGGATGCTGTTTGCAAACCTGACCAGGGGTCCTGCATGCTTGAGCTGAGAGTAACTTTTGGGAAGGCTGCTGATGCTCCCTCACAAAGGGCTGTAAACCACAGGCAGCTTCGACCGGCTGAAGTACAGTTAGCAAGAACAGCTGAACCAAGAAAGGCTTTGTAAGCATCCTCCTCCTGAAACAGCTTAGATCCAAGTGAATCCAACCACATCCATGCAGGCTTTTCCTCAGCCTTGCAGCTTATTGCTGTCCCCGGGGGTTATTGCGTACGAGCTGCTAGGAAGGAACCTTGTGGGAGCTGGATGTGCTGTCAAGGAAAGGAGCGGCTCCGGCACAGCCCGGAGTGCTGTGGATCATAGGAACGGACAGCACTAGCGGCAAATATTTATGGAGAGACAGGAAAGCCTGGCTGCTGCGGAGAAGAATGTAGAGGCAAGCAGGATAAACGAGACTGAGGAGCCAGGGCAGATATTGATCTGTGAAGGATGGAGCAGCTGGATTTCCAGGAGTGCCTTACATGGCTTCTGCCTTGGACCTGGGGAAGGGTTTGTATGTCTGACAGCTTGTCAGGGTCTTCCAACCACATCATCTGGTCTAATAAAAGACATTACCTCCTCCTGCAAGCACTGCCTCTTATATTCCTCATACCCTGCAAACTTGGTGAAAGAGAGCATCAAGTTCCTGTGCTGTACCGGGATGTAGGACACGTGGCAGAGCTGTGAAAAATCACCTCGTAGACATGATTGCACAATCTGCCCTCTTCAGTAGGAGGAAAGTGTTGACATGTGGGAAAAACTGCTTGTGTCTGACCCTTGTATGGAAGTATCAGCAAAGCAAGGGCTTCTGTTGCTGCTTTGGCAGTGAATAACAGAACAGGGGCGAGTGATTTTTCTACTCCCAGTAGAGTAGAAATGGGACAATAAAGTTGTAGGACTGGAGTGGTAGACTGGACTTAACCAAAGGCAGCTTTCTAGCATGTGCTCTGAGGTGGGTAAGGCCGAGAAGCTGGTGTAAGCCCTGTATTCCTGGGCAAGGACCCAGGGGCGGGTTTTGCAACAAAGTTTTTATACGAGAACTCCAGCCTTGTTTCCTTTATTAGCCTGCCTTGTCAGACAGGGGCGATAGAGCAAATCCAGAAGTGGAGCTGGATGAAATTCTAGTACTAACCTTCTCTGACACTATTTCTCTCGTTTACTTGTCACTGAAGCAATTTATTGAACTCTGACTAGAACAGGAGCTAAAAGGCAGGATTTTATCTTTAAAGGTAGCAGAGCTGAAGGAAGCCCTTCCTAGCGGGTGAAGGGGACTCTTATGAAATGACTCGATTACGTTCTCAAAACCGCCTGGCTTTGGCTCTCGTTTGCTTCCCTGCTGGGGTAACAGGTGCGTCGTGCAGCCCCGTGTGAAGCTAATGCAGGGGCTGTGAGCGGAGCTCCCCGCCTGTGCGTGAGCACAGGGCAGCTCCAGGACCCTGCTCCTTGCTCCAGCATCCAGGTGCTTTGGATCATCCCTCAGAGTTCCCCAATGCTGCTGTCAGTGGCTCCATCGCTGCTAACGCACGTTGCCGGTGAGCATCGCTCTGCCGCGTCCATTCCCGCACCGCGGGATGCTCCCTCTCTCCTCCGTCGCCTCGGTTAGCCCTGTCACAGCGTGACGATCGCGTGGCCGGGGAAGTCCTTGGTGCTGATAGAAGCAGTTAAGCTGCTGCCTGTGCGTCCGGGTCGGTCCCCAGCGGGACACACCGGCTCGTCTTACCGAGCCGGGGCGCGGGCGGGAGGCGCTGCTCCGTGGGCGCGCGCTGCCTCCCTGCTCCATTTAGACCGGGGTAGAGTTTCCTGGAGAATGGAGAGCCCTTGGCCAGGGAAAGAAGCTTCTTTCCCCATGAAAAGCATAAAGGTTAAAGTGTGCACGGCTCGAGTTGTGACAACCGCGTAGCTAGGGGACTAGCGTGCTTGAGGCTTTGCCAGATAGCCCTGGGACAGGCTGTTTTTCAGCTAGAGCCAAAGTAGATTCTGGCTTAAGTTCCTGAATAGGAAGGGAAAAAGCAAAGGGCGGGGTGGGGGGAAAAACCACCCAGCAAAGGGTGCCCAGCGTGAGGAGTGCGGCCGTGGGGCTGCTTGGCTGGCTGATTCCCTGGGCTTGGGAGACCTGGTCACCCGAGGGGGTTTCACACCAGAGCGGTTGAAATCCTGGTGTGCAGGTGCTTGTTGTCCTCCTTACACTATACAACTTCCTTGAGAGGGCTGTGTTTTCACCCAGCTCATTTCACTTGGACTGTGAAGGAGTATTATCTCTTAATAGCACCAAACTAGGGGTGGTCTGAAAACCACTCTTTCTTCATACGCTGCTTTTGAAGAACTGTTAAGGCTCCTAAGACGATGCTGTGCCTGCTCTGCCTTTACAGCCTCACTTCCTTGTCTTGTCCGAGGCCTCTGCTCTGCAAACAAACCCTCTTGTCTCTCACGTGAGATTCTAAAAACTGAGAAGCGCCACCAGAACCTTGCTGTGCCCATCTTGTTGGAGAACCTTGCTGTAAACTGGAGCAAGAGCGGGCGCGAAGGGCCCGGCAACGCCGTGCCGTGGTTACAGGTGTTGGATCCCTCTTGCGTGTAGTAAAAGGATGTGCTCCTCCTGAGCCTGGCTCGCCGAGAGCGCGAAGCTGGAGAAGAAGCAGCGCCACGCGCCCAAAGCCGAGGAGAGGCGGCATCCCCGTGCCCGGCAGCCCTTGCTCACAGGGAAAGGAGGGTAATTCCAAACCACACATTGGCAATGACGGTCAGCGGGCAGAGTCCCCGCGCCCGAGTCGGGCCGTGTCCCGACTCATTCCCGCCGGCAGCCGCAGGGCCGTGCTCTGCTCTGCTGCCTTTGAGAGCCCTTGGGGCTCGGCGGGGCTCCCGCTCGTGCACCAGGAATGATGGCTGTGCCTGGGAACACCGCGCGGCTTCTGCAGTCCCCGAGAGCCGCGGATGCCAGCGGTGCCCGAGCTCCTACGTGTGTACGACTGCATCAGCGCTTG